TCACACCCTGAGAAGAATAAAAAGAGAAGAGGAAGAAGAGACTCCCTCAAACCCTCTCCAACGCTTCTTCTCTAATGCCGTGTGGAACGAATAATGAGGACAGGAGAGTCAAGACGCACATGTGTATAAATGCACACATAAATACATGCAATGCATATATTATATATGCGGTATGCACAATTATCCCTCTTTCCTCCTCCCTATCCTCCCATGCATCATTTGTTTGTATTTCCTTACCATCCCTCTCGACCACGTTTACTCCCCTTCCAGCCTGTGTACACATATTCGGTCCATCATTTCCCCCTCCACGTTACCCTCATTCCTCCCCTCTATTGTTGTGTGATCCCTTCCTTTCCTCCGTCCTGGTGAAGAATAGATGGAGAACTCATCCGCCGCACACACACACACACACACACACACACACACACACACACACACACACACACACACACACAGGGAGGGGGAGGGAGAACCGCCGTGCGGTCCCTCCGTGGCCCCCATCCCTCCATGGCCGCGGAGGGAGGCAGCAGCCGCACACAGCACCGGCATCGCTGAGGGGAGCGGCGCCGCCGCAGCGCCCTAACAGTGCATTTGTGCCTGTGCCTTGCCATCCGCACCCGCAGCAACAAAATACAAAGGTGAAGGGCATGCCAGCACACAGCCACAAGAGGAGTTCGACGGCTGGGCCACAGCCGGGGCGGTGGGTGGCGTCCCGAACCCACAAACGGAGCACCGCGCGCACCGTCCGCTCCCCTCCGAGTGCGCTCAGCAGGCCGGCGCCCAGTCACCCTCGTGCCATCGCAGAGGGGAGCACAAACAATCGTCGTCGCGGACCATCGGTGCCTCTAGCAGGGAAGAAAGCAGAAGAAATGGGGAAATGCCATAAGCACAGCCGACAGCGGCGGGAAACGGGACAAGAAGACACAAAGTAACAGTCAACACGGCAGGGACAAAAACATATCCGCAGGGAATTACCAAAAAAACAGGAAAAAAATGAAACGAAAAAAAGGGTGAGACTTCTGCAGGACTCACGGAAAGAAAAAAAAGAAAAAAAGAGAAAATTGATTCGGCAGGAATTGCATGTGCCATGCGGCCAAAGACGATCGGGTGCGCACACATATCACCTGCACAAACGAAAAATGTAATAATAATAAAGGGATCGCATTATTCCACTACCCCACACAACATTCCTCACATTTCATGCGGCATCCGGCCTCTTCCTCCAATCCTCGTTCGTGCAGTCCGTGGGACGCGCAGCAGTGAGGCCGGCACCGCGTGTGGGCAACAGAAGCAAGCAAGGAAAAAAAGAAAACACACACACAGTACGAGCCGTCCACGCAAGGACATGCACGACTAATCCTAATCACCGCACAGCAGCACAGACAAGGGCGGTGACGAGCAGCAGCGGCAGCAGAGGCGTGCGCACCCACACAGTGGTGGTGTCGCCGGATGAGGCGGAGGACGACTGACTGGAGTCTTCGGGTGCCTCCACCAAACTGCAGGTTTTTAGATCCTCGTGCTTCTCAAATGACATATGGAAGGCAACAAAATTCTTATTACTGGCAGAATTGCACAGTCTGGTAATTTCGGGTTCCTTGTATATGTCTCCAGCGAAATTGCATAGCCGTGCGCAGTAACCATTGACTTCCGGGGCTTCTTCGGGCCTCCTCGCACACTTTCGCCAGTCCTTCTCGCCTTGAAATCGCCAACGCAACTTACCGTCAGTCCCCGGACAAAACACTACCACATCAGCCAATGGTTTTGCCGGCGCAATGGTAGAATTCACCTCCGAAGCAGTAGCCCTGCAGACGGACAAGCAGCAGCAGCACAAGAGCGCAAGGACCAGCAGGTCGCACGCCACGCGGCGCCGCACAGTCACCATCATCATTCGTCGTAGAGTCGCTCGAGTATGTGAGACAATCCACACAGTGGGGCAAGGACAACAACAACAACAACAAGAGAGAAATAAATGTGCCGCACTACAGTGACACACACACACACGGTCGTGAAGCAGCACCCAGCACCCCACACGCACACAAAAGGGGAGGGAGGAGAACAGTGTAGCCCCCAGGCTCCGGTGGATGTAACTACAGTTCCGGGAACCGGGAATGGGTGCGCGTTCCTCGTGGAGGGCACGCGCCCGCGAAGAGTTGCCGAGCCCGCAGGAGATACGCAAGCAGGAACGACGGTGTGTGGGCGTTGGGTGTGCGGCGTGTCTCACGGGAAAAGAGGAAGCAGCACAAAGGACAAGTAAAAGTCCCCACATTTGTCCAAGAGCGGAGCCACATTGCGTTGTCTGCCAGGCAAATGGCATCGGATGCCTCGCTCAGCCGCCCTGCAGCCCACGTCCATCGCGGAGAGAACACACAGCTCCTCAAGCTTCCCTCACCGGCCCTGCCGTGCCAGCGCACGCGCCTGAGTGTTGCGCGAGGGTTCCACGAGCCCGACGGTGAGTCGATGCACCGCAGTTCCCACAACAAACTGAGACACCTCGCTCCCTGCCCTCCGCGGCGGAGCCACTCCCGCACACACCACCACATCCGCCGCACCGCCGCGAATCACGGTCCTCCCACAAGACTCTCTAAATGCACAGCACGCACGCACCCTCTCCACCCAGCAACCAAAGAGAACGCACAATCCAAACCCCCTGTGAAGAAAAAGCAAAAACGACAACCCTTTCATGACAACAAACTGAAGTGACGACAACGAGGTGCGGCCGCAGCAGCCCGCACCCTTTCCGCAACGCATGGCTCCTCTCCCTCCCCTTCCCTCGCTTCTTACCCCATAGCCGCCATGAAGAGGTCCTTCGCGGATCGCCTGCCGGAGTTCGCCGGCACCCACGATTGAAGACAATGGGCGACGTGACGGCGGAGCCGCAGTGCACTCATGTGCCGCGCAGGCGTGTCACTCGCCGTCATGATCGCTGCAACCTCCCTCGCGGCGCGGCGCCGAAGCCACCCAAAATTTCCACCCTCGCACCCGTAGGAACGCAACTGCCTCGCGAGCCTCATCAGGGACGGTGCAGGGGGAGGCGCCCGCCACAAGGCTCTATCAGCACCCCCCGCGCCACCGTCCGCCTGCGCCGCCCTCACCGCCTCGTCACACCAGCGATGCAAGGCGTCCTTCTGGAGAAGATGCTCCCGCAGTAGCGCGCCAACGCTGCCGTCCGCCTGCCGCACCGCGCGGGCATCCTCGTCCCTCACACAGCACCGCAACTCGCTGAACGCGACGTGAACCTCCAGATCTCTAGTCTCAGCGTAGTCCCTCAGTGTGTAGAGGAAGCAGCGCAGTCCCACAATTTCCTCCGCAAAGAAATGCCACTTGCCGCGCCAACGCCCCTCCAATAAAAGACGATTGTACGCGAGTGGGTAGCGCTCCGCAATCGTCTGCTGCAGGCGCGCGGAGGACACGGAGCAGAGCAGCTCCACCGACGACCCGGCGTGACGCATTGCCATGAACTCCTGCATCACCTGCTGCGCCAGCACTTCCTCCGTCACGGCCGGTCCGTCCGCGGGAGGCAGCGTCACGAAGACTCGCACCGGCATTACACTATCGCAACTGGAAATGCGGTTTTGCCACAGAAAGAGCTTCCTCGCCATTTGCAAACAATGAAAAGGTCCAAATGGGGAGCAGAGAGGGATGAACACACAGGAAGGAGGGAGAGCGATGGCAGGGGAGAAAAGGAACACATCCGCGACGAGACTCGAACGTGCATCCCTCCCGTCCGCAGTCAAAATGCCCCGCCATTGAGCCACAAGGAAACAAGGACAGGGGAATTTAGTTTAAGTTCTCTCTTTATTCGTGGCTGCCACGCGAAGCAACAGCAGTCGGGAAAACAAGCGGGGACCAAAAGTGAACAAACAGTTACAACAGGGAAACACCCCATTCCTTCTTTTTCACATTATCTGCCAACGGTGCACGTTGTCTGCGAAATTTGGTGCGCAAGACGGAAGGGGGTGCGGCCCCCGTTCGGTGGGCAGAGCATTGAAAGCCGTGTTGCGCACTCGCGCCGCCTCAACTTCACACCAGACTCCAACGTGAGGGCCCCAGCAGCACTAGACTCCGGAAACGACTTCACAGCAGCCTCTACTAGCATTGGGGTGGCCTTTATCCGACGTTGACGCACGGAATACGTTCCATGCGGCCACAAGAAAGAAACGGAGGCATTCGCCGCCGCGTAGTTGAAGGCAATGCCATCGCAGAGCAACTCCTCCACTATAAGACGGATGGGACCCTGTCGAGTGGAAGTGGAACTCGTCAGGCTGGGGTACGTGGGCACATCAGCAGCCCGGTAAAAGACTCCTCAAAGACAACGTAGTAGACACGCGAGGAGAGAAGAGCCCGTGGCAAAGCCACCTTGTACGATAGGCCTATCCCTCGAAGCCGCTCTCGTGCCACATAAACAAACGAAAGGCTGTAATTACGCTGCTCCATTGTTTTGCCGCAGTCAACAATGGCCCGCACGTCCCTCGCCACAGGCGAGGAGGGGGATCGCAACCAAATTGAAAACATGCACCGTACCGCATCATACGACACGCTCCTATCATCGTCGATTTTGAGCACAGCTTCGGTGCGGAGAAGAGAGGCGACAAGCCAGCGATTCGCCACGGAATTGGGTGGTTGCCGCACCTCGATTTCAACGCAAGCAATTCGTCTGGCACCGTTTCCTTCACGCCGTTCCACACGAGCAGCACCTCATGGACAAGACTCTCATCCTTCGGCCAATCATACAGAGTGGCCTTCAAAAAATGCAACAAACAATTTCTTCGCCTCGTCATTGGATATGACACCACCACTACTGTTAACGAGTCCTCATGAATGTTGCCTTGAGCGGCAGCAGGGGCGATCACTTTGCTCACCGTCGGCTGCGACGGCAGAGCAGGCTCAGGATCAGTTTTTCATGTCCACACAATGAACGGAAAAGTAAGAAGCGTCAATACGACAAGAGCAGATAAAACGGGACGCAATACGCTAACTAAGCCAAGATGGGCGCGTCGCTGCCTCATCCTCACACCCTGAGAAGAATAAAAAGGGAAGAGGAAGAAGAGACTCCTTCAAACCCTCTCCCACGCTTCTTCTCTAATGCCGTGTGGAACGAATAATGAGGACAGGAGAGTCAAGACGCACATGTGTATAAATGCACACATAAATACATGCAATGCATATATTATATATGCGGTATGCACAATTATCCCTCTTTCCTCCTCCATATCCTCCCATGCATCATTTGTTTGTATTTCCTTACCATCCCTCTCGACCACGTTTACTCCCCTTCCAGCCTGTGTACACATATTCGGTCCATCATTTCCCCCTCCACGTTACCTTCATTCCTCCCTTCTATTGTTGTGATCCCTTCCTTTCCTCCGTCCTGGTGACGAATAGATGGAGAACTCATCCGCCGCACACACACACACACACACACACACACACACACAGAGAGAGAGAGAGAGAGAGTGGGAGGGAGGGTTTTCCTTTCCCTTCCGTTTCCTGTTCGGCGCATTCAAAAAAAAAATGCAACGTTCATCATGACACGACCCCATTCGGTATGGGTGCCGTAATGATGCCGTGGCTCGTACGAAACGGCATGTCACCCCACACTACCTCACCCTTTTCATTCGTCTTGAGGTCAACCGCCACCTTTTCAAAGTGTTTCGCCAACTTTTTCTTCAGAACCGGCACAAACGGCCCGTCGTGACCGTCAAACACAACACGTTCGCCGACGGGTGTACCGGCTGGCACTTCCAATAACTTGACATCCCGCGTGTTGCCCTCTGTACGCGAGGCGCAAAGCACCATGCCTTCTGAAACAATACCGCCGATCTTTCGCGGCTCCAGATTCGCAATGACAAGCACCAGACGGTTTATAAACTCGTCCTGCTTAACGTACTCTTGCAGGCCGCTAAGGATGGTGCGACGTCCCCCCGCCTGCTCGCCAAGCTCAATTTCCTCAATGTATAACTTCGTGCTCTCTGGGTGTGGACGCACATCAAGTACCTTGCCGATCACAAAGTGACACTTGGACATACTGCTGCCAGATGCCTCCTCCTCCTCCGCAGCAGCAGCAGCAGCGACAGTGGCAGCCTTCCCATACTTTTTCGATCCCTTTACGCCGACCGCTTGTGGGGCTTCTTCCGGTGTTGCATTCTTCTTCGTGCCGCCGAGGGACGCTTCTCTTGCGGCGACAAGCTCGGCGATCCAGCGCTCCACGAATGGGATGGAGCGGCGCAGAAGAGGACCCTCAAAATTTGAAGAGAACATTTTGCCAGACACTGTTAAGGTTTCCTTAAAAATTTCCCAAATAACAAACAAACAAACTTCCTATACACACACACACACACACACACACACACACACACACAGGCATACGGGCAACAACAACAAACACAAAGAATAAAAGAGACAAAATAAAAAACGTATGAAGAAAGAACCAATTAGAGAGGGGAAGAGAAAAAAAAAAAGACGGTACATGTGTGTGGAAGTGACAAATGCGCCGCACTCTGTGTTTCTCGCTCTCACTCACTCTTTCACTTTTCCTCACCCAGAAGCGCAAGCACGTCCTTCAGACGTATCTCAGCAGGCACGTACAACAACGGCCAGCTCCGTAGGTGATTTGTATTGTAATACTTCTCCATCAGGTGAAGGACCGCCGTTGGGGTTAATCCTTGCAGCGTCACAACGTTTCTTTCCGAACCATTTGCCGCAATCCAACGACGCACCCTCTCCGTGAAGGTGATGGCGCTGTAATACTTGAAAGGTCCGTGCGGTGGGCAAACTGCAATATGGCGGAAAAAAAGTGTCATTAACTCACTGTTTGCTTCAATGAGAGCTGCTGCCACTTCTCCCGCATTTTCCTCTCTCTCGGTGCTCTCCAGCAGCTTTAACCCACTTGTAGCCAATCGCATCCCTCCACCTTCTCTATCTATCTCCCTCCCTCTCTACTAAATGCTACATAAACAGAGAAAAGTTAGATGGATGCATGAGGGGAATGAGCAAAGGGAGGGGAAAAGGGAAGGGAGGGGGGGGGGGGGAATGTGAGGGAAAAGGGATTGAAATAAACAAAACAAGAAAATCTACACACAGATAGAGGCAAGAGCTAAGCACACACACACACACATATACATATATATATATATATATATATACAAGATTTATTTTTAGAAAGAGCGGCTGCACATGCACAAACATATATCCATCTATCCATCCATCCATCTATCCATCTATATATATATATGCATGTACATGCCCACACGGTCATTCTAAAATTAGAAAATCATAAACCGCTGTGACCAAAATGTGTGATTGCGGCAGCAATATAAAATATATTGACGACTTTCAACGCAACAACAACAACAACAACACATAGTCGTCAACGATAAAAATTAACTAAATTCCAAACATGAAAGGAAACAACAACAACAACAAACAGTAAAAAAACAAAACAAAACAAAACAAAAAACAAAATGTATGTCTAATCACCCAAACCCACACAAACAAACACACATATTAAAGGAAAGCATCGATGGCAAATCCATTCATATTCATATATATATATAGATAGATACATGAATAAATGGATAGAAATAAATAAATAAATAAATCAATCAAACGCTTTCCTCAAGAGGAGACGCAACTACCATCGCTTTTTAACCGCTTTCAGTTGTATTGGACTTCACTTTTTTTATTCTTTTTTTTTCCCACTTCATCGCATTCCCCACTTTTGTGCATATGTTTCTTTTTTATTTTTTCCTTTGATCTCTCTTCGTTCCTTTTTTATTATTATTATTATTTATTTTTGGGTAGCATAACATTGGACTTTAAAAATCAAGTCGATCTCATCTTATATATACTTATTTATATATTTATATAAGTGTGTGTGTATTCCTTTTAGTTTTATTTCTTTTTTTTTTTTTTTAAATTTATTTTTATTTTTATTTAGTGACGAGGTGCTCACGTTGGCAACTTGGTGGGCCGTGGAGTTTCTCACACTGATTTTCAAAACTTTGCGTCATGAGGGTTACCACTTTTGACATGATTAGTTTGGAATACAAGGGGTTATGAAAGGCAAAGCGGATAAGAAATCGTACCTCCACTTGTCGCGGCTGCCCTGGCACAGGGCTGAACTCCCAGACGCAGTTAAGCTCCGTGAGAACAGGACAACGACGCTGCGTCTCACTCTCCTTAAGAACGGCTTGCACTTTCTTCTCGGGCACAAGTAACACACGAGAGGTGTATTGCTCTTTAAAAAAGGAGAATCCAACGGTGAGTGTGGCCGTCATTTCCATTGGATCACCGCTACCACAAATGCCGCCCCCATCCCTGACCCTACTCTTGCCGCTGCTACTGCCGCTGCCGCTGCCGCTGCTGTTATCAGCCGTATTCGTATCATCGAGGCGTCTCACTTCGTGTACAGTCGATTCCACACACCATGGAAGGAATGTACTGTACCGTGAGACATCCGCTACAACGTCGTAGAGTTGAGTAGGGGACCAACCAAGCACGGTGTGTTCCCTGTACTCCTGTACGAGTGTCGCTGATGGTTCCGCCGCTAATCCATTTTTGTTTGGTACCGGAATCTTCAGCACATCTGCCATTGAAGCCGCAAACTTGGCAGATATTGGGAAATGCTTGGAAATTTTTTCAGGGGACAAGAAAGAGGGTCGATGAGGGTGAAAATGTTGCGATTTTTCCGTCTGTTTGCTGTTGGCGTCTCTCTTTTCAAGTGGCATGGAAGCCTCAAACATCGTTGCGTCTGGCGGTAAGTTGGCATCTTTTACCACATCATCACGGCTTCTAAAAAACGGCTTTGCATCGGACGCCGCAGGCGCCGGACGAATTCCCGGCGGAAATGGTGGCGGCGGCGGCGGTGAGGGAAAAAATGAACGTCGCCCGCTCCGTGCAGTAATAATAAAACCACCCCTCCCTATCGCATCGCAGAAACAAACAAACGGCCGCATCTATTGATCTACCAATCTGTATGTATGTATGTATGCTTGTATGTACGAATCTCGGCGGCTTGCCTCCCAACTCCTCTTTTTCTCTCTTTGTTTCTGTACCCCCTTCCCTCCGTGACGCTTTGGCTCCTAGACACGTGCCCACACACACACACACACACACAAACTGGCACCCCCCCCCTTCCGCCGCCGCCACCCCCCCAAACAAATGGAGAGACAAAACAAAAAACAACAAAAAAAAAATAAGAACAGAAAAAGAAAGAAAACGACAACACACACACACGGGGGATGCCGCACGGCGTACCACCCCGCCCTACACTGCGATTGTGCCAGCAGAAAGCACACATGTAAATACACAAATAAGAGGGTGAGAAAAAAAAAAAAAAAAAAAGAAAAAGAAAAAAGTGCCTAAGGTGCATGTAAACAAAATGAGCAACGTAAAACAAACAAACAGAAGGAACCCACGCATATATAAATACAAATAAAAGACAAAAATAAATAAATAAATAAATAAATTAAAAATAAATAAAAAAGGGAATACAGAAAAAAAAAAAAAACAAAAAAAAAACCAGACAAAATTTTATTTTTATCCTCATTTCTCCACACAACCCCGTCAAATTTTTCGTTCCTTTTAAAATGAAGAAAAAAAAAAAGAAGAAAAAAGACAAAACAACAACAACAAACAGTTAAAAATGCAGTCAATTCAAATACACACAGACGGACAGCCAGACAGCCAGACTTATATATAAATACATGTATATTTTTTGTTCATTTCATTGTGTGTATGTTTGTGTCTGCAGGGGGTGGGGGAAAGAGGGAGGGAGGGGAGTAGGACGCATGATACATGAACCACCCAAGAAAATCCCGTGATAATAATCGTCCTACCAACCTGTTTTTCTTGGGCAGCAGCAGCAGTAGTGGTAGTGGTATTGGTAGTAGTGGTAGTGGTAGTGGCAGTAGTAAAAACAAACAAGAACGTCTTTGAAATAAACACCAAAAATCAAATCAAACTCGCCTTCTTTTTTCTTTTTTTTTTTTTTTTTTTCCAAAAGAGGAAGACCAGAGAAAGGCCTTATAGTGCAAAACAAAGACACAAAGCGTTTGCGAAAATCAAGTGATTATAGGCGTACAATAGAGGATAAAATTCTGAATCTTGCGGCAGAAATAATAATAATAATAATATATATACATCATATACATAGACACATAAAGAAAAAGGATGTGGCAGGTGCTCATACAAACACACAATTTGGTTACAAAACTCTTTCTGCAGGAGGTGATAAAGCCATTCGAGGTGGAAACGTTTTATTCTTCTTCATCTGTGCCACGCGTTCCTGCAGTTGCCGCAGTTCTTCATCCTCCAGCGTTTGAAACATCATTTCTTCTTCTTCTATGGCTTGCCGAATAATCGAGGCCGCCTCCCGCTTTGACTCACGCAGTGCACGGAGGACTTCTTCACGTCTTTTCTGTCCTTCCACTTCCTGTTGACGCAGAGCTTTGTGAAACAGCTGAACTTCCTCGCATTGCTGTTTTTTCCTCTCCCGCAATGCATCCTTCTCTTTGCGGAGGGCCTCAGCACGCTCACAATTGTCGCGGTATGCGGCCTCGCGTTGGGCGGATGTCTGCAGACGTTTCATTAGCTCCACCTCCGCCCGTGCCACCGCCCGCCGCTCCTCCTGCAACTCCGTCACCCACTGCTTACGAAAGGCATCGTCGCTGGCGTTGGGTAGCCGCCGCAGCGGACTCTTAAAGGTGTTGCGCCAGTCCCCCGGTGGGTACTGCCTGCCAGCTCCACGCAAGGTGCTTGAGAGGTTGGTGAGAAGGCCGTTCGTATACGTCTTTGCAAAGACGCGTTCACGCAAAATATCGATACGGTTCTGCCGATATTTACTTTCCGTAGCCGCACACTCGCGAATAAACTCCCGCTCTTCTTCAGCTATCGCCCGTGTGTTGGCTGCCCGTTCTTTAAGGAGCGTTAAATACTCCTCTCGTTTGGCGTTCTGTTCCTCGCGCTCCTGCCGTGCGGCATCCCGCACAATATTCTCCTGACGTGCCTTCTCTTCTTTATACATGGCAACTTGCTGTAAGATGTTTTCACGTTGCTTTGAGGCCTCTTGAATCTTGCGCACTACATTCCCTTCACATTCCGCACGAAAGGCCTCACGCTCGGCCTTTATTTGGTTAAACCGTGTGTGATCCACTTGTCGTGGAGCGTTCCCCAACACCGACCACCCGCGCCTACGCAGACGTCTGACGGCGGAGGCATATTCATATTCTTCTTCTTCCCGCTGTCTTGCCTTCTCGTGGAGCCGGCGCAGACGCATGCACTGCCGCTCCCTCTCATCCTGATTTCTCAAGGTGGAGAAAAGTTCACTGTGCTTCTCACGCCAATCATTGTAGTCTTTGACCTTCCGCACGTACCCCGGTGGCCCCACGATGATGGTGCCATTGACGCACGCAGACGCCTCTCCAGGCGGGGGGCTGTCAGGCTGCTGATCTTGAAAGAGACCGACCGTGCCAAGGCCAATGACGCGCTCCTTCTCCGCCGCTCGCCAATAATCCGCGGAAGTCAAATTTTTTCTCCGTTGTCGCCACCGCAAATACTCAGACGGATTTGAAATCCCTTCATTTTGATAGGGCCCCCCCGCAGCATCGCAACGATTAGTTTTAAAACCCTCGTTGGTGTTAGTCTTCCGAACGTCGCTCGATGCATGACTCGGCCGCCCCTCATCCGTGTATGCCGGATGACCCCCTCGACTGCCGCCGTTCTCATTTTTTCCGTGGGCTGGGCTGGGAAAGAGTGAAACATCCGCCTTATCGATATGTGGTTCAGAGGCAACTGCGAGTGCAGCTGCGGGCTCCTTTCCTTTCAAAGCGTTCACACTTTCCCGCATGTCGACATCGTCTGCGTTGTGGACGGCGTCGGCGCGTTTGTCTACTGTCTGCATGCTCCAAACACACCTGCACTGGCAAGAGGTGAAAAGGAAATAAAGGGGTTGGCGCAGGCAAAAAAGCAAGTCAATATCACTGTAAGCAGCTATATATATATATATGTATGTATATTCCTCTTTCTCTCTCCCTTTCTCTGTGTGTATGTGTCTTCCGTCGGATTTCCGCCTCTTTTCCCTCTTTTTTTTTTATTGTTTGTTTTTCCACAAATGAATTCCCTTTCTTTCTTCCTTTTTTTTTTTTTTCCCTGTTTTCTTCTTCGGCAAACACATAAATAAAAGAAAAAGAAAGAGATAGATAGAGAGAAGAGTAAGTGTAGAGGCATGTAGCACCGCAGGCCTCGGGCAGCGTAACGAACTCCCCCTCCCCTCCCCGCCCCACCACAAAAAAAGAAAAAAAAAGTCAGTCACAATCACAAACAAATAAACTCGCAAACCAAACGAAGGAAGAAGGAAAGAGAGAACATAAAACAGCCATCCACCACTCACCCGCCCACCCCCGCCTTTTTCCTTTTTTTCCTTTCCTTTTTTTATGGCCGTGTCCATGTTGTCTCGCGTGTTTGGTGATTCACGTAAAATTTCCGTCCGCTCTTTGGGTCAACACACTCCTCCCAGAAGGGCGGCAGCGCAGTGATAATAGAAGCGGGGGCGACAGCGTGTGACGGCGTCAGCGCGTGCGGCTGCGGTACGTGTTGTGGTGTCGTGACGGGAGTCGCTTGCGGCCGCGTCCATGTTGTCTCGCGTGTTTGGTGATTCACGTAAAATTTCCGTCCACTCTTTGGGTCAACACACTCTTCCCAGAAGGGCGGCAGCGTGTTGGTGTTTGGTGTGGCGGCCATCGGATTTGGTCTCACTTCTGCCGCATTCATTGCAGGGTTATTGCTAGTCACACTCGCTACTGCTGTTGGAAGTGTCCATGAGGTTTGTTTGGTATACCGATTCACGTAATACTTGCGTCCGCTCTTGGGGTCGACACACTCATCCCAATCTCTAGCTGCTCCTGTTGTTGCCTCCGCTGCCGTACTTGTCGTCGTTGGTTTCGTATGATCATTCCGTTCGTTTCCATTTGCTTCAGCCTGACGACACTCTTGCTGCTTTCGATGCCAGATTTCCACCTGGCGCTCCAAGTCCATCTGCTCCTCGAGACCGCCTGGGTGAGTCCATGTGGTCTTCACCACGCGGTCGGCGTTTGTGTAAAAAAAAAAGTGACGACGTCGTTGCCGATCGTACATGAGGGTCCAACCGGCCGGGAGACGCGTGGAGACCTCCGGCTCGGGAAAAGCAGAAACTGCCGTGCTTTTTGGCTGGGCATCGGTCGTTGCAGTTGGTGCATGTGGCAACGGTGTCGCTGTATTCATCGCCATACTCACGGGTGTCGTTGCTGTTTCTGCTGGCTTTGCGACATCCGGCGTAGCCGTAGCACGCATGGGCGTCGTCGTGCCGGCCGCCGGCAGGACGTGTGCCGTTTGCTTCGCATCATCTCCCGTGTTCTTTGCGGTTCCCAGCGTGAGCGTGTCCAACTTCGGCTCCTCCGTGCTGGTGGATGAGGGGGCAGTGGCATCTATGGCGGTCGTGTGCTGTTTCTTCTTGACTGCAGACTTATCTTCATCGGGAAGGAAAGGGTCGGGGGCACCCGCAATGGGCGGCGGGTGCGGACGGGAAGAGGCATCCGCAGGTGACAACAGTGAAGCCGCCCCACCCGCAGACGCAGACGGAATTAGTGATGATGCCGAAGAATCCGTCCCAGGCACGGCGGCAGCATTCCGTGTGTTCCCCACCTGAGCATCCCCACCTGTCAGTCGCTGCTGCAGTTGTTTAAGCTGCATCAGAACAGCTAGTGGGAGTTCTTTGCCCTCGTGCTGCAAAGCCGCCAAGGCGGCACTTGCAGCCCCTGTGTTGGGGATAAAGTTAATCCCCTCTCCTTTTGCAATCGTCGCAATACCACCGCCGCTACCGTACGTGGGGCTCACGTACGCCATCAGCTCATCGGCCACACTGTCGCCATTGTAAACGACAAAACAAACCCCACACCCGGCGTCATGCGCCCACTCCAACGCGGAGGATATGTACGCATTCGCCGCAAAGTACACAAGCGTCATGAACTTCCCTCCCCCTCCTCCGCCGCCGCCGCCACCGATATTGACGTTAAGGGCCCCATGGGCCTTTGCAAGGATCGACATTGTTTTAGTGCATATCGCGGCATCCACGGGCGATCCCGCGCGGCTTGAAATGCTGTCGAGCACAATCGTCTGGAAGCGCAGGCGACGCAGTGCGGTGATGAGCACGTCACGCTGCGACTGCTGCCCCTCTAAAGCCTTTAAGATGGAAGAGGAAAAAAACACAATGCGTTGCTCAACCGCCACTGCTGCCGTCCCTCTGTTTGTCTGACCAAACAGCTGGGTCGTGATGGCGTCCAGCATGTCCTCAACGCCGCCCCGCACCGCCTCCTCGGATGTGGGCGTCATGCCACTGAGAAAATAATCCCCATCCACAAAAAGATGAATCATTTTCCTTCTACTCTCCCCACTACCACAACCACCCACCGCCGCTGCCTCCTGCCCCCTTCCCACGCGTGCAGCAAACAGCACGTGAATATGACCGTGTGAGTGTGTGTGTGTGTGTCCCTTTGAAAAATGTGCACCACCGCGAATTATTCACGAGAGCAAAATATCTAAATATATTTTATTGTTTTATTTCTTTTTGACTTGGGGAAGCGCGTAAACACTCAAAAGACCACCCGGCGCCAAAAGATCCAGAGGAAATAAAACATATAAAAAAGAAAAAAAAAAAAAGAAAAAAAAGAAAAAAAAAAGGGAAGGGAGCAAAAGACAGACAAGAAGGAGAGGAGGCCTTTCACGGCTCCCAATGTAAATAACCGCCACACAGGAAAGGTAGCAGATCACTTCCAAAGAGAAAACATAATAAAAATAAAAATAATAATTTTCATTGACATGTGCGTGGAATCTGTAAGAAAAAGAAAAAAAAAAGAAAAGCAACAACAACAACAAAATACACATGTATGCGTGTATGCGTCTGTGTATGTGTATTTGGGACAGATGAGTGCGATGCCTCCATGTGCGTGGCATTCCTTTTGAAAATCAACTTTTAAAGTAGCAAGAAAACTCTGTAAAAGCACCGCCCATTCCTCTTTTCCCACTCACCGCGGAGCCGTTAAGTGATGATGAGTAGTCGCCGCCACTTTTGTTTCCCATTTATTCGTAGTTGTGGACACCGTCCACAGGGAGGCGGTGGAGGTGGGCACACAACTTCTCTGCACGTTGACGTAACTGCAGCACCGCCTCCTCTCTTGTATGGCTGCGGTCGTTGCCATCTTCTTGCAGCTGCAATAAGCTCTGTACCAGGCAAGGCCGCAGAGGACTGTTGTCGAGCACCTCAGGAAAGTGCTTCAGGCCAAGCTCAAGAAACCGCAGAACACGAGCGAGTGACGCACAACAGTCGGCCAGGGATGCAAAAGAAGGCGAGGTTGACAGTGAAAATAATGACGATGACGGCTGCTGCACCCGTGCAGCTCCAGGCGTGATGCCAACAAGTTCCTTCAGCATCTCTGTTAATTGCGGTAAAAGAAGATAAAACGAGTCTGCCGTAAGCGCATGAAACTGCGCTGGGTTGTCAGGGGCCGCACATCCCTCATCCAAGACACGCGCTCGTATAAATGACCGATACGCTCGCTTTGCCTCCTGCAACTGCTGCTGCCACCGCTCGCATTTGCTGTATTCTGGATGGTGCGCGTTGCCATTTTCATTCCTGTCATCATGTGGAGCAGGAATGGCCATGTCATTTGGCCCGCAGTGTCTATATCCCCCACGGTGAATATCACCTTCATCACCTTCTTTCTCCACTTCCTGCGGTGCTTCTTCGTTGTGACACAAACTGCCGCCACCGTATGCCTCCAGCACAAGAAGGTCGTGCAGAGACAGATCGTGGTGGGCGTGGCGTGAGGCCCATTCTCGAAGAACCGAAAACCCCTCCGTGATACGCTGCATGAGAGCACGCTGGCCACTGAGACATTCTTCTATGGCCACCTGCTGCTGCAGGAGCCGCAGGAGTTGTTCATCCAACGAAGATGACGGCTGCGCCGCATCACTGCGGGATGCCAACTTATCCATTCAAACAACAACAAAAAAATTCGCCTGCTCCCCCCTCCCTGAATAAAGTGTCTAGTAATAAATAAAATGCAGATGAAAATCATGCACGTGCTTTACATGAAATAAATGCCCAATGTCACAAGGAAAAGGCCGCCGTGAGAAGCGTGTCAGGCCCACGTCAAAGTCTCATTTGTAGCGGTGTTATTATTTTTATTTTTATTTTTTATTTTTCATTTTTGAATAATAATAATAATAAAAAACAAAAGGCCAATCGACCGTCCACCTCCCAGCCGCGTATCCTTGCCCCTGCCTTTCCCCTTTTCCCGCCACATTGCAGGGAATAAATAAATAAATAAATAAATAAATAAATATATCCATCCATGATGGAAGAGAGGCATGTGTGTTTGTATGCATGCAACTCAACCCAAGACGACAGGACACGACACAGAGGGCGGAGCCGGCAACAATGAGCTAAAAGCGGAGAGAGACGGAGCAACGGCCAAAAGAAAAAAACAAATAAATAAACTCACAACTGCAGGCGGTTTGGGAGGAGGGGGGTCTGTCATCACCGCCATCAACGTCGCACGCCCTTCTCCATTTTCCCGCTTCCTCTTCTTTCCCCCTTACGTTAATAGTGAAGTTTCGTACGGCGCCAGTGGCGGCGCTTCTCATTCCACTTTATGCGATTGCCCGTGCGAAGACGAATCCAGTACGGCACGGGCCTGTTTTGCTTCAGCTTCTTTGCGTACTTTTTCTTAATTGCAAGCGGCTTAAAGCGTCCCATGACGGTCTGCTTTCTTTCCTCTGTCTCCCTTGACCCCTTCTACCTCCCCTCTTTTTTTTTTTGTTTCGTTGTTGTATTGTATATATTTATATATATTTGCGCAGGCGTGTAATTGCGGTATGGCAGAATACACCGAGACATAAAAAAAAAGAGAGAGAGAGAGAAGAAGAAGACAATTGGGAGGTGCATGCGTGTACAACAACAACAACCGCAAGAAGAAAAAAAAAAAAAAAGACCATCCATCAGCCATACCCTCTGACTCATGTATACTGTACGTATATTATTATTATTATTATCTGCAATGCATGCAGCATGGTGATAAAGAGGAATAGAGGGAGAAAAAAAGAGGGAAATTGAAGGAAGGAGTCCTATAAAAAAAAAAAAAAAAACAACCACAACAACACACACACACACACACATTTATATATTTATATGTATGCGTGTATATCAAATCATTCTAAAAAAAAGAAAAAAAAAAAAGAGGGGCCACAAGAATTCAAACATAATTGAAATCGGAAGAAAAATAACAGAAAAAACAAAATGTATCCCATACAAAAGGGTACCGCACAATATTGTACACGTTCATTTCTGCATCACCTTTTTTTTTTTTCTTTTCTTTTCTTTTCTTTTCTTTCTTTCTTTTTCTTCTTCTTCTTGTTCATTGTTTTCATTTCTCCAGCCAAACAGGGAGCACACACGCATGACGCTCCCATCCCTATTCCCTCTATGCGGGAACTGTATATGATTCCGTGACGAGGCGGGACTCTTGACTGAACCGCACTGGTGTCCCGGTTTCAGTCCGCACCACCTCAACCACCTGCACCTTCGCGACAGTCCTGCATGAGGTGAAGCTGACATCCACGGGGAAAAACACCTCACTTCCGCTAGCGGCACCATCGC